GTAAAACAGTATCACCCCAGACTGTTGCTGAAATCCCTCGTGAGCCAACCTTGGCTACAAGGTAGGGAGTGTGAGGGAAGCCACATGCTCCTCAGGAGAGAGCTGTGCAGGTTTTCTTTTTGCTCAGGGGCCAAACACTGAAGGCATATACTGCCCCACCCACTGAGCGCCTGAGACCGTTCCCTCCTTTTTGCATGCCTCCTGCCTCCTGGGCCATTCCTCTACACCCAGAAGGCTGGGAATCCCAGCTGATTCCCTGACAGGAGCCGACTTCACACACAGGTGACTCAGGCATTGGCTCATGTTTTCACCCAGGGATAAACCATTCCATCTCTGGAGTCCCTGGGGAGCTTTCCCTGTAGGTCTCCTGGGTGTTGAGAGATGAGCTGAAGACCAACCCTCAATGAATGAGCCAAAATTAATTCACTCATATAATTTACTGAGTAGCTGCGACATGCCAACAAGTATGTTAGGCTCTGCAGATAAAGGAGGAATAAGACAGAGTAAGGAAAACTGTTCTTTGTGGTTTCTGTCCCTTGGGGACCACAGGCATCAGCAGACCCACTGAAGTCACCTGAGGCAAAGTGTCTGCATCTTGGTCCAGCCACCCTTTGCTTTTCAGCTCCTAGAATCCTTAGAGTCTGAATCCCTTTAGCTGGTAACAGCTGTCATGGCCATCCCTGGATAACATTTGCCACCAAGTACAGATGCTGGATCATGGGTTCCAAGCAGACATCATCCAGGTCCATCTGGAACTTTCAGTGATAGCTGTCTTCAGCCAGCATCTTTGGGGGACTCTGTAATAGCAGCTTGAGATCAGTATCTAGAAGACTGTTCTGCAATTTGCTGCCAAATGCATCTCAGGTTTTTAAAGTCATTGTTTCTTGCTCACAGTGGCTCATTTATTACAGAGCTTCCTCACCCCACTAATGAATACTGGGAGGAAAAGGAGCTGGAGCTGCCTCCTTCAGCATCAAAGCCTTTCCTCAGGAATCTGCCTCCCTTTATGGCAGAGGTGCATCCGGGAGCTGGAAGAAACCTGGCAAAGTCAACCAGATGCCTAGCTCCTGCTGAGACCCAGGTCCTGTGGCAGCTCCTTATTAGATTAAAGGAGGTCACTTCCAAAGCAGGTGCTGCATGGCTCACCATCATATGCCCCAAACAATTGAAAGTTGGCAGCTACCACCAGGCTGTGAGTTTCTGGCGAGTAGCTTAGGGAAGCTGAATAAACTGTAGGCCCAGGGCTACTGAAGACTTCAGGATAGAATTCTCCATCAAATATGCAGCATAAATAAAACTGCTCTGCACTGTTTGATCCATTTCCAAGGGGCTTAGAACAGTTAACAAGGGTGTGTCCCCTGTCCTGCCCCACGAGTTTGCTGGCTTTGTAATAACATGAGACCATTTTGGTTGTTGGTGTCAGATACCTTTCCATCCTGAGCTCTCTCACCCACCTGCTGTCTCTCCTAGAGCAGGATACTGGGGTACTTTCAAGAAGGGTGCTCCTTTTAAGATGCCCAGAAAGACTGTATTGAACTCTTGCTATTTGTAACTTGGGGATGGTCTCCCCTCCCCCAGGGCACATAAGAGCAAAAGGTCCAATGGTCAGTGGATGACTCTGTAAAAGCGACCCCCTGTGCCAGAAGCTATAGCCCTCTCCCTGACAGGAGTCTCTTTTTGGCCAGAGGGCCTGCTTCCCATGGGCATTGCAAGTGCCACCATGCGGGGCCTGGCTCTGCACACCCAGGAAAAGTCTGCAGACCCCCAGCCCTCCGCAATAATTCACCAGACCAGAAGCCACTGATGTACAGAGATCACTTAAAAAAAAATGTATTTTATGTGAAAAAAAAGTTAAAACTCTGTATACTGTATCAGCAGCTTTGTGTAAAAATGGCAATCAAGAGAGTCTAATATATTTAAAACTTTTTTAAAAAAAAATCCTCGCAGATCTTTGATATCGTACTGAAGTAACTTCCAGGTAGCCCCTCGCCACGTGGCACTGCTGGGCCTCGGGTCACAAACCGTGGCTCAGCCACATCCCAGAGGGGGCACATGTCCCTGGAGTTGCTTCCAGCTGCCAAGGCCTGTGACAGAAATCGCTGTTAAGAGTTTTTAATTAAAATTATTAAATTCCTTTTAATAACACCTGCTAGTGTGACTGGTTATTGCTGTGAGCTCACTTGAACAGTGCTGACTTAAATTCACAAAGAGGACGTGTCTGGAGTAGAGGGTGGGTGAGGGCTTCTAATCTCTTCCCCCTTACTCCCGGCTTCCTGCGGAGGGCTCTGGAATGAGGCCCCTGAAGTAGAGGGAGTTCAGGGGGCTCAGACCTGGAGCAGATGTCTCTCCAGACTGGGAGATGGTAAAAACTGATGACTTCAAGAAAAGGTGGGTGGTTGGGAATGACCTTCATTCTGTCAAATATTCTCTTTGAAGTTAACATGAAGCCCTATAATAGCATATATTTATTCCATACATGTTCCAAAGTTTTCCTGATATTTATTTATTTATTTTTATTTTTATTTTTATTTTTTTGAGATGGAGTCTCTGTCATCCAGGGTGCAGTGGTGCGATCTCTGCTCACTGCAACCTCTGCCTCCCAGGTTCCAGCGATTCTCCTGCCTCAGCCTCCCGAATAGCTGAGATTACAGGTGCTGGCCATGATGCCTAGCTAACTTTTTGTATTTTTAGTAGAGACAGTGTTTCACCATGTTCACCGGGCTGGTCTCAAACTCCTGACCTCAAGTGATCCGCCTGCCTTGGCCTCCCAAAGTGCAGGGTTACAGGCGTGAGCCACTGCACTGGCCCCGATGACATTTATATGTAACAAGAGTGCACCTCTCCTCTGTCCCATTCTTGGAGTGCACTGACGCGTCCCGTACTCTTCCCCCTGCCCCATTCCAGCTCTTCCTTTCACTTGCTTATGGTCCTGGCCATTCTTGTTTTTTTACCTTGAGGCACAGAGAAGCTGTGATTGCACAGCCTCAGACCACGGTCCTTGGTCCTTGTCCCACACAGAACTTTGTTGGTGTTTTGAAAGAGGGTGAAAAGGGTGCTCTCTTGTTGCCTCCTGGACCCTGGATACCAGAGCAGGGACACATGGAAGGCCCCACACTTAGTCCTGAGAAACTTCACAAATGGATGGGAATGGGAGAGGAGGGAAAGAGAGGGAGAGGCATTGCTAAATAATGATGGTAACTTCTCACATTTATGATGCTCTTTTCATTTACACGAAGAAGATGGAGGCTGAAAATTGACTGTTATTTAGCTGTGTGGAATTCATGATGAACCTGACAAGGGGTTTTGGTAAAGCAGTGAGGGTTTTAGCCTGACTGAAGAGGGCTGGAAGAGAACTGGAGACAGCAAATATAGACAACTGGTTTGAGGGTTTCTTTTTCTTTTCTTCTCTTTTTTTTTTTTTTTTTTTTTTTTTTTTTTTTGAGTCAGGGTCTTGCTCTGTCACCCAGGCTGGAGTGCCGTGGTGCAATCATAGTTCACTGCAGCCTCAAACTCCTGGCCTTAAGTCATCTCCTGCTTCAGCCTTCCCAGTGGCTGGGACCACCATGAGCACTGCATGCACTAAAAGTTAGACACACCACCATGCCCGGCTAACTTTTGTATTTTTTCTAGAGATAGGCTCTCGCTATGTTGCCCAGGCTAGTCTCAAACTCCGAGACTCAAGTGATCCTCTTCCCTCGGCCTCCCACAGTGCTGGGATTGCAGGTGCAAGTCACCATGCCCAGCCATGTCTGAGGTTTTATGCTGCAAAAGTAAGAAGAGAAATGGGGAGCTTTAGAAGAATGTAGGGTCAAGAGAGGGCTGTTTTAAGATGAAGATGTTTCAGCATGTGTGTAGGCTTATAGAAATGAATCAGTAAAGAGGGACACTGATGTTCCAGGAGAAAGAAGGAGGTTGCTGGTGAGTAGAGGGGCTGGAAGTGCCCAGGCAGAGGAGCTGGGGTTGGATGGTGCAGGCACGGTTCATCAATGCCCTGAGTATGGGCAGAGATACAGACAGGAAGGTAGATGGGATGAGTGCATGTGAAAGTTCCCTTCTCACTGCTTTTGTGTTCTCGGTGACATAGGAAGCAAGCTGTCAGAGAGGAAAAGGTAGAGAGAATGCGAGTTTCATTCCTGTCACCCAGGTTGGAGTGCAATGATGCGATCTCGACTCACTGTCACCTCCATCTTCCAGGTTCAAGTGATTCTCCTGCCTCAGCCTCCCGAGTATGGGATTACAGGCGTGCACCAAGAGACCAGGCTGATTTTTGTATTTTTAGCAGAGACGGGGTTTTACCATGTTAATCAAGCTGGTCTCGAACCTCAGGTGTGGGTCAAGCTGGTCTTGAACTCCTGACCTCAGGTAATCCGCCCTCCTCAGCCTCCCAAGTGCTGAGATTACAGGCGTGAGCCACAGCATGGGCCCTCTCTCCTAGCAGGCAGTTTTAAGGATCATGAATTGAAAGCAAGACCAGTCAGTAAGCATGGTTATGTTCTTTTTTTCTCCAGCCCTGTAGGGCTGCTGCAGTGCAGGTGGAAAGTAGCGTGTAACCAGGGTAGGTTGGGGTTTTACAAGGCAAAAAACCGGTGAAATGAGAGAAGGCTACCCTAGGGTGTGATCAAAGGAGAGTTCCTAATACGATGAGCCGGTATTTTTTGAATGAATGAATACACGGTTAAATGCAGGGGATAAAGGCGATATGGTTGGCCATGCCAAAGCTCCGAGAGCCTAGGAGCAGCGTGGCCAGCGTGTCTGGGAGCCGACACCTGGCCCTCGTCGCTACCTTGTAAGGCTGCTCTGTGGGGCGGCCGGCAGGGAGCGCGCTGGGATGGCCAGGAGCCTGGCTCTCCCGCCTCTGTCCCTGCTCTGCTGCCCGCCCCGCCCCTGCAAGTTTAAATTCCGCTTAACAGCCCCAGCATTGAGCGCAAAGGCTCCGCTGTGCAGGCAGCCAATGACGCATCAGGGGGCGGAGCCGCCTCTCCGCTATTGGAAGGAAAGTAGCCAATGGGAGAGCTGAGGCGGGGAGGTGCGGCCAATGGCGCGGGCCTGTTTGATTCAAAGGTTGCCTATAAAGCAGGCCGGCACGCCGGCTTTAGTCCTAGGGCTGTCGCGTCCGAGCGCCGCTATGGCTCTGCTTTCCGAGGTCCTGGACGAGTTGCCCACTGCCTGCCTGTCGCCGTGCGGGCCGCCCAACCCGGCCGAGCTCTTCAGCGAAGAACGGCGTCTGGCTCTGGAGGAGCTGGTGACCGGCGGCCCCGAAGCTTTGGCGGCCTTCCTGCGACGCGAGCGCCTGGCTCGCTTCTTGAACCCGGATGAGGTGCACGCCATCCTGCGCGCGGCGGAGCGGCCAGGAGAGGAGGGTGCGGCGGCGGCGGCTGAGGACTCGTTCGGCTCCTCGCACGACTGCTCGTCGGGCACCTACTTCCCCGAGCAGTCGGACCTGGAGCCGCCGCTGCTGGAGCTCGGCTGGCCGGCCTTCTACCAGGGCGCCTACCGCGGCGCCACGCGCGTCGAGGCGCACTTCCAGCCCCGCGGCGCGGGCGCGGGCGGCCCCTACGGCTGCAAGGACGCGCTGCGCCGGCAGCTCCGCTCTGCTCGAGAGGTGAGCGGCCCGCCCGGGCCCTGGGTCGCACGGGAGACCCCCTTCCAGAATGGGAAATTGAGGCCTGCTGGGAGCGCGGGCCCGGGCCACTACCGCATCTGCGCCCTACCGGAAGCGCAGGCCAGGAGGTCCTCGGGTCCCCGACTCACCTCACTCTGCGTGTCTCCCCCGGATATTCCTGGCCACTCTTCGTGGCAGGGGATAGTGGGAAAGCCTCAGTTCCCAAGGATGCGAATTGGGCCCGGGTTTCATCTCCTAACGTTCATATGGCTGAAGCGGGGGACCAGAAGTACACCCAGTTCCAAATTTCAGTTAAAATCAAACTTGGAAAATTGCCGATTTTCCTGTCAGCCCATGCTAAATCCCACTTTCAGGAGCTTCTTAGGAGACTCATTACCAAAGAACTTACGTAGGGAAAGTTCTAGAAAGATGGTCTCCAGAAGCAACTATGGGGCATTAGGAATCAGTAGGAATCAATTATTACTGCTAATTACTTTCACGCATCTTATGTTGTAAAAAGCAGATAAACACAGGAGTGGCAGGCTGAGAGCCCTGCTGCTCTTTCTACTGCTAGTGACTGGAGAAGTTTGCCACTGTGAATGAATGGGCAAGAGGTTTGTTTTCCATAGGCTGGGTCTGTGCGAGATTGCAGTGATCTCCTAAAATGCAGATACATTTGCGTTAGATCGGCCTCTGTATTCTCAGTGGGTTTTGGTCCTATTGTCTGACCCTTACTTAGTATGGCATGGTCTTGGGTGCAGTGGAGGCCTTGTCTGCTTGCCAGCCTCGATGAAGCTGCAGCGGGGTGCTGGGGATCAAGGAGGAAGAAGGCAGCCTACAGGTGGGTGTGGCAGATAAAGTGTGGTGGCAGACACCTTGGTCTGAAGCTATGGTCAGCTTGCTTGCTGACCGGCAATGTCCAGCTTCCTGGCTGTCTGCCTGTGCCAGGGACATGGCAGATGAAGCCCCAACCATGGTAAGACTTGTTAGGGCTGGTACCTGACTGTGTCTGACTGTGGGTGAAGATATCAGTGCATTCTTAGGTTGACATGTCCAAGTCCGACTCTCACCAGTGTTCCTAGTTTTCTCTCCCTGACTGGTGGGGTTGCAGTGGTCGTGGATACAATGACCTAGTGCCTTGCCTTTGAGAGAGTGGCTGCAGGCTGCAGCTAGGCTCTTACCAGCCCTGTGGTGCTTTGGGTGGGCCGAGGGTCTTTTTGATGCTGCATACATTTCCCATGCGGGTTGAGTGAGCAGATTTAAAAAGATGGAAAAGGCAGAATTGTGTAGGTGTGCATTCCCAAAGCTCATGAACTTGAGCACTTGGAACCTGAGAAAAGTAAAGAGCTGGTCTGTATAGTGAGACCTACGGCTTGTTCTAGTCTTTTGCCCAGCTCAAAATTTTAGTGATAGCAAAGGGGCACCGGAACCAGAGGCCAGAGGGAAACTATTAACACATGCTAGACTGAGGAAGGGATGGAGCCTGGAGCTCAGACTCTCTCATCCCATTGGCATTTTATAATACCAACATTTCCAGATAGAACCTGCTGCCCTAGTCCAGCTACCCACAATTCCCTCCAAGATGCTGTATTTGGAACCTTTAAATCCAATGAGTATTGGCTGGGTGCAGTGGCTCACACCTGTAATCCCAGCACTTTGGGAGGCGGAGGTGGGCGGATCACAATGTCAAGAGTTTGAGACTAGCCTGGCCAACATGGTGAAACCCCGTCTCTACTAAAAATACAAAAATTAGCTGGATGTGGTGGCGTGTGCCTGTAATCCCAGCTACTTGGGAGGATGAGGTAGGAGAATTGCTTGAACCCGGTGGTGGAGGTTGCATTGAGCCGAGATCACTCCACTCCACTCCAGCTCTGGGCAACAGAGCAAGACTCCGCCTTGGGAAAAAAAAAATCCAATGAGTATTTTCAGTGTATCTGATAGATGCCAAATTATTTGCTTACTCAGTGCCTGCTGTGTATCAGACACTACCAGGGCTGGGGCCACAGGGGAAGGCATCAAATTTGCCTACACTTGAGGGTGGACAGTATGCTGATAGGAAGCAGTGAGGAGGTTGCTACAGGCACTGGGGAAAGGGCTAAAGAGTCTCCGGAGTGGCATTGAACTCAAAGCTGGGTGGGGTAAGGGATGCACTGAATTTGAGGCCCCAGAGACTGTCTCTTTTGTTTAAAAACAACAACAAAAAGCCAGATATGATATCATGCACCTGTAGTCCCAGCTACTCAGGAGGCCGAGTCAGGAGGATCACTTGAGCCCAGGAGTTCGAGGCTGTAGTGCACTTTGACCACGCTGTGAATGGCTACTGCAACTCCAGCCTGGGCAACATGGGGAGACCCTGTTTCTTTTTTTTGTTTATAATTTTTTTTTTTTTTTTGAGACAGTATCACTGTCACCCAGGCTGGAGTGCAGGGGCACTATCTCAGCTCACTGCAACCTCCACCTCCCAGGTTCAAGTGATTCTCCTGCCTCATCCTCCTGAGTCGATGGGATTACAGGCGCACTCCACCATGCCTGGCTAATTTTTTTTTGTATTTTTTAGTTTCACCATGTTGGTCAGGCTGGTCTCAAACTCTTGACCTTGTTATCAGCCCTCCTCAGCCTCCCAAAGTGCTGGGATTACTGGCATAAGCTGCTGTGCCTTGCCCTGACCCTGTTTCTTTAAAAAAAAAAAAAAAAAAATTCTATTTGCCAGGCACTGTTCTAAGTAATCTCACGGAAGGAGCAATTATCATCTTCATTTTACACCGGATAGAACTGAGGCATAGAGAAGTTAAGTAGCCCCAAAGTCATGCAGCTAGACAATGAAGGAGCCCGTACTCAAATTGAGGCACAGAATGTCTGAACCATGTTAACCACCACACTCCCTGTGGAGGGGTCAGGAGCCTGTGCTCGGGTGGGGAGAGGGGACAGAGAGCAGATCTGGTGCTACCACTGGGTAGGGGTGTGCCTGGTGGACAAGGGAGTGGCTGTGACACCTTGAACACATCCTTTGAAGTCCAGTACCTGTGACAGTGAGGGCCAGGAAGGTACAGGTCTCAGGCTGCTTTCAGGATGAAGTGAGAAGCTGTTCTGCATCCGTGTTCTGATGGCAAAGGTACTTAATGATGATGTGATTGAGCACTTTGAATGGGTCAGTGTCTGTGCTAAACCCTTGACCTATGAATTACCTCACTGAACCCTCCCAACCCTGGGAGGAGGCCACAATTAAGAAAAGACCAGGCAAAGAGAAGTTAAGTAACTTGCCCAAGATCACACAGTTAGCATGGGACAGAGTTGGGCTCAAGCCCAAGTCTATGTGGTTCTGGCTCTGAAGCTCACACTTTTTTTTTTTTAAGATGGAGTCTTGCTCTGTCACCCAGGCTGGAGTGCAGTGACATGATCTCAGGTCACTGCAGCCTCCATTGCCTGGGTTCAAGTGATTCTCCTGACTCAGCCTCCCAAGTAGCTGTGATTACAGGAGCACGCCATCACGCCCAGCTAATTTTTGTGTTGTTTTTGTTTTTGAGATGGAGTCTTGCTCTTGTCACCCAGGCTGGAGTGCAAATGGCATGATCTCGGCTCACTGCAACCAAGTTGGAAGCTATAGTAAGTTAAGATCATGCCACTGCACTCCAGTTTGGATGACAGAGCAAGACCCCATTTCTAAAAAATAAAACGCAATTATATATAGTATGGCTGGCTGCTTACCAGGTGCTCAGTTGAACTTCGCCGAAACTGGAGGAAATACTGCTTTGAACCTTTTGAGAACCCGTATGTTTGCTTCCTAAGGAAGTTTTTGGATAATCTTGAACTATACAGGATTTTTTCCCTACATACTTGCTCCAGATCCACCCCTCTACCACTGTTTCTGTTGATGACTCATTCAGCTTTTTGCCTCTGTTGCTGTGTGAATTGGAATTTGGCTGGGCTGTGACCCCCTGCGTGGAAGGGCTGCGTAGCCTCATTTTGGCAGTGTGCTTATGAATTGGCTGTCTGGCTATTCCTGGTTTGTTGAATGGGAATTTAGAGGCAAAGCTGGTACCACCAGGAGGTTCTGATTCCTCAGAGTCACCTTTCTTGCCAGTGCCTATCCTTATGCTGTTTTGTTCCAAAAGGCCGTTTTTGCTATGACCTCACCCTTAGGCATCCTCTTGATAACCCAAATGTTAGTAGTGGGGATCATTGCATTCCCAGAGAGCCCTGCCAGGAGGAGTAGCAGCTAAGGAATGTGTTGGAGGCCCCAGCATGTACTTGGATGTGTCTGAATTGAGAGGCTTTCCTGCTCTTGCACAACTTTCCTCTGCATTACAGTAGAACCTGTGTGGTATGATCAGTTTCTGTTCCAAATACTCATGTCAGCCTCAAACAGGGCTTCTCAACCTCAGCACTATTGACCTTCAGGGTCGGATAATTCTTTGTCCTGAGGGGCTGTCCTGTGCGTTGTAGGATGTTGAGCAGCATCCGTGGCCCCCATTCACTCTATGCCAGCAGCATCCCTCACCCCAGGTAGTCATGATATTCAGTGTCTCCAGAGGGAGAAATAGGGAGTTACTGATGAGTGGTCACAGAGTTTCCGTTTGGGGCTATGAAAAAGTTTTAGAAACAGATAGTAGTGTTGGTTGTGAATGTAATTATTGCCACTGAATTGCACACTTAACAGTTATTAAGATGGCGAGCATTTTACCATGATAAAAAATGTCTCCAGACATTGCTAAATGCCCTCTGGGGGCAAAATCCTCCCCAGTTGTGAACCACTGGCCTAGAATTTCTGACTAGTGCATCATTCTGGGATGTTACCCACTAGACTGAAGTGTTGTTACTAATTTATCACTTCCTTTTGATTTCACGTGTCAGGTTAAGGATTTTAGAATTTTTAAAAATATTGTAAAAAATACATAGCAAAATTTACCATTTTAACCATTATTAAGTGTACAGTCCAGTGGCATAAAATACATCTTCCCAAAGTGAAACTCTGACACACTAACTCCTCTACCCTTTTTTCC